TGCAGGTGTAGATGCAAGCCCTGGATGCGGGAGCTGGGAGCTCTGCGTTGGCACCTGCTCCCAAACAGGGAGAAGCTGGAGCACAGAGGGTGAGGGCTCGGAGAGGCAGAGCTCCCCCGGAGGGAGGCTCTGGTCCTTCGTGGTGGGCGAGAGGTCTGATTGTGCCAGTCAATTCGTGTTTGTGCTCATGATGGTGCGGAATTAAAACACGGCAAGGTTTTAAAGACAGGATAGATAAAAATGCCATAATGCAATAGGAATTCATTGCATTTGCCTGCTGTGAGGGCTGACCCTTACCTAAAGGGTAGCTTTTAGTGGGGGAAAGGAGCTCTTATGACATTGAAGATTCTTTGCTGGCAAGAATGCCATTAGGGCTGGATATGTTATTGATTCCTTTTCAAGATTTGAGGCTTAAGAAGCTGCAGAGATAGTAAGTGTAACTGGAATGACACAGAAGCTGCTTCCAGGCAGTGAGTGAAGCTGGAGACATTTTGGCTGGTATGTGGAGCTGGCACTTGCTGGGCTGAAGATGCAAGGAATGGCAGGAGCCCAGTGGAGGGCCTTCCTAGTCGGTTCTGAACCAGGACTGGGATGGCAGCGGAAGCCCTGAAACTTTCCCCTCTTCCCTTTCAGAGGGGAAAGAGGGACTTGCAAAGCTCTGGGCTCCTCCACACCTGGAGCGGTGCACATTTCTTTTATTATTTGTTACAGCATTTTGCACTTCTAGAATTGCAATGCCATCCAAACTTGAGAACATCAGCACTGCCCTGCTTTACTTGTGCATAATAATATTGTCAGCATGTGGTCTGTGGGGCTGATCGCCTTGTGCTGTTTCTTCTTTGGGCTTTTCTGCATGGGAAATGCAAAATAAATTAAATCGTGAATCCAGAATATGCTAGCTATGCTGCACTGCTTCCAAGGACAGAAACTCTTGGCATGGTCTTTGGAAGTGGAGTAAGCTGCTCATGCTTGCCACATCCTAACTGTTCAATCAGCAGTTTAATGGGAAGTCATTAGTGTACTATAAATTCGCACTTTATATGTATTTACGTAGTGCTTATTTTACCATGTAGAAAAGGCTTTACTTTGCAGCTGTATGGATGCTCCCCAGTGTAAGTGACAGGAAGAGAAGTTTGTGTGCATGTTCATCTCATTTCCATTAATTATAATAAGACTAGTCACATAATTTCTTAGAGACCTGCTGAATTTCAGCAGCTAACGTATCAGCCGTGAAACCCACCAAGACTTAGAAAACAGACGTTGATCACTGCATCACTCTGTATCAGGAATTTGAGTTTGAAATATCCTAGGCATAAGGAAAAGGTTTCGACTGATGTATTTCACGGGAATGGTAAAAAGAGAACTAGAGAAGCATGCTGATTCCATGGGTAATTACATTTCCTAGGTGTAGGAAGAGATTTTTGGGGCTCTCCATCTAAAACAGTGTTAGTGGTTAACACTACATGGGCCAACCCAGCCTGTATTTTTTCCATTCAGGGTTTCTTTTGGTTGGATCCAAGTCTTTTGGTTGTTACCTCTTTTATTGCACATCTTAAAACCAAACCATAGCGGTTCTGATTCTGAAGCAATCTCTGCATCATTGTGCAGGCATTTCCAAAGGCTGCTCCATGAAATAACTGTCACATTCCCCGCCCCAGAAGAAGACAGTACGAGAACTTCCTGTAAAATGCGGAATTACTTCTTATGAGCCAGTTCTGCTCTGGTTAAAGGGAATGTCGAGTCCCGCCTGCCCTCCATGGGAAGGTGTGCTTGGCAAGGTAACTGCAAAAAGATACACCAGAAAACAGGACGTTTGGTCTGAAGGCTTTTGGCAGGCTCAGAAGGAGCCAGCAGAGTTCACTGGCTTCTATTTCTAGTGTATTGTGGTGGTTTTGTCCCTGAGTCAGAGCTGATACTGATCTATAACAGCTACAGAGCGTTTAAGGAAACGTTTCTGCTCTTAATAATGAGAAAACCGGTGAATATCTGCTGAGGTGACATCTATCATGTGTTTTTAAACACACGTAGCCTGATAACCTAGCAAATTATCCAGATTGCAAAGAAACAAAGGGAGATAATGATAACAAATGAGCTTACATTTATGTAACGCCTTTCATTGAGATGGATAGCAAAGAGGTTTGAGAACTCTATTAACGGCTTCTACAAACTATCTAATCTATCGTATCCCCAAACGTATTGAGTGCGGCTTCACTCAGGCTTTATGAGAAAAACATCTCCATTAAGCAACCAATTTTTGTCATTCTTCGGAGTGGTCATTTAAGTGTCCCCTGTGCAAGCAGGAACACAGAAATCTTTACATTTGTCGGTGAACTAAAGCCACCTTTGGGGTGAAATGCAGCTGTTGCTTCACAGGTTAAATTACTTCTAACTTCTTTACTACCTTGTATCCAAGGATGTCAAACACATTGATTAACTAAACTCTACAGCTACTGATTTGTCAAGAAACTTGCCCTTTTATAGTTCAGCGGTGGCAAAGAGAAAAGATAGAACTCCCAAATTTTCTGCTTCGAACTGCCGCATCACCTCTTCTTTCTCTCTCTCCTTTTCCTTGGTGACAAAAAATTCCCCTGGTGGCAAAGCATTTCTTCCACTAAAACGGCAAGGAGAGATTTTTGACCTAGTATTTCTTCTGGACTTTTCAACATGGGAAGATGAATCCTGGTCACATTCCTAATGGAGCACTCCTGACTAAGACACAGCTTTGCACCCATTTTCTGTCTCCCATAATTTTAAGGCAGCCTGAGTGTGTTCATAACAGCACATTGCATCAGCATCAGGGGCCGGGGGCGCTTAAGAACAACTGGCACGTGAAGTGCTCTCTAAGTCCCAAGTGCATCTCCTAGAATAAAGTGGCTGCTGGTTTCTCCTGCATCAGCGGCGGGATACTCAAATGCAGGTGGCACAGGATTTTCAGAGGGATGCTTGTGGTTTTTTACAGGGCAGAGAGGTGGCTGCTCTGCAGAAACCGTGGGGCGGCAGGGGGCCCCGGTGGGGCGGGGGGGGGGTGCAGAACCCGTGGGGCGGCAGGGCCCTGCGTTGAGCAGGGCGGTGTCACTGCAGCCGTATGGATGTGTATTCCCCTCTCTGGAAGCAAAATGAGTTGGGATAAGACTCAGCAGCCCTATGGTGGTTTCCTCTGCTTCAGGTTTGATTCGTCTTCTGTCCTCAGTCTTCTCAAGCTAGTTCTTGTCTGGGCAGGGGAAAGCCTCAGATTTTCTGTTCCTCCTAGCCACTGCCCCGGTCCCTGTGCTGTAGGTGAAGTGCTTGGAAAGCAGGAGTTGCAGCAGCAGTTACTCACGAGACGGTATTTTGTAGCGGAGTGCCTTTGGCAGGCAGGCAGACAGGTGCTCTCTTCAGCCCAATCTGACGGGTTTTACGCTACAACTGCTTCTTCGCAGCAGCGCTGGGGCAGTGCCCGTAGGAGCGCACGTTTCCCCGCCCATGTGTGTTTAAAGGAAGCGAGTTAGGAAGAGCGCGGCGGTGCTAGGAACAGACTCATCAGTTCTCTTTCTCGCAGAGGGGGGTCACTGGGATTCTTTTATGAGATGGAGAGTCAGTTTTGTGAATAATTTTTTGATGTGTATTGGATTTGGCACATAACATCCACCACCCCCTTCTCACCTGCCTCCCGATCCCTTCCTCCCCAGGCTCCAATTCCCGTTTCCAGCCTCAAGTCTTCGATTCACATTTACTGCAAGGAGACAAATGTGGAAGTCTGTGTGCTGTACATGCATAAATAATAGAACTGAAATCATACTTAGTTAAAAATAGATATTCTTCCTAATAAATATTTTACCTACTGTCTTTAGGATATAAAGCTCCCCTCACTGAAGTGTTAAAACAAACCTTGTTGTTAGCCCCTAAATGCTTAAAACAACCCCAGCCATGGCTGTACAAACAGTGCTTGGCTGAGAGGCTGTGTATGGGGAAGGTATGTGTTCATACACATAAGCACATAGACAAACACCTGCTCTTAAAGCCTTAGGAAGGGTAGCCCTTTGGCTAAGGGCACAGACCTTTGCATCTGCCTTCCACTCATTTGGTGACCTGTGAATTTGACTAATGAAAACGAAAGATAAAATCTCTCTTGATATTTATGAATAACATTCTTCTTTCCATACCTTCCTTTCTTCCCGCCCAAGAGTGGAATTAGAATTAGCTGGCTGAATAAGGCAAAACAATGGACACTGACAGAGACTGCGATAGGAGAATTTTTCATTAAAAAGAGTGACAGGTGGAAGAATTTGTCCAAGTGTGTTTCTGGAAGATAATCCTTCTGCATTTTGGTTTTTAGGACATCACTTAATGTCCCTTACTTGACATGGTGTTTCCACTCCCTAGATTCCCTAGGAGCAAGGGTTTTACAATGCCACTTTAATCGAGAACAGATTTGCTAAACCAGGGCTCAGCTTTATAAAAGATAAAACTAGGATTGAAACACAGTGATCCGAAACACTGTGAGCTCCCAACATGAAGTACGGTAGGTGAAGTTCTGCCTACAAGCATGATTGTGTGTGTGTTTTAGGGGGGTGCAAAGCCAGCTAGGCAATAAGTGCCACAAAGAATTCAAAGGGAAAAATTCAGCCTGCGGGCAGGCAGATGTGGGAGTGCAATAAACAAATACAAACCAGCTAAAGTACCGTCAAAGGGAGCAGGAGCTGGAGCATCTCCCTGCACTCGCAATCAGAGCTTCCTTGGTGCTGAAATGCATAGGAGAATAAATTAACCGGGCATTTGACTGTGGGACTCCCAGTCGTATTTTCAGAGCCCTAAAACGTAATTGGCATTCCAGACTGAATGTTTTCCTTGTTAGGCAGGCAGAGAGCTAGTCAATACAGCCAAGCAAGTTTAGGACACAGCTCACTTCACCCTGCGTTTTTTCAGATGAATTGCACTGCTAAGCTCTATTGACTGACTCGGCTAGATCTTTATTAACTCTAACAGAAGCCCCGATGCCTTGCTTAGACACAGGCACCTACCTGGCTAACACATAAATCATGCCACCCATGCAGTGGTCCAGCAAATGTGGTCTAGATGAAATCACCGCAAGTTGGATGTCGATACGAGTTGTCAAGGGCCCACTGTCAACATGGAAGGAGCAGGGTGTTCTAGAGATCCAGCTGGGGCTGCCTTGATGGCTTCCACTGCTGACTTGGATGAGCGATTAGGAAGCACGCTTACTAGGTTTTCAGACTAAAGCTGAGTGTGCCTAGAGCATGTCAGAGGACGGGACTGGAATCAGGAAAGGTTTGGACAAACTGGAGACATCAAAAAAGATTTAATTTCACTTCAGTATGGAGAAATAAGCTGTTTTCTCTGCCCGCTGAGGGTAGGAATGAAGTACCTGCTTTAATTTTAAGATGGAAATTAGCTGTCAAGGGCAGATTGCCTGGAGAAGTTATGTAGTTTCCATCATTGAAGGTCTTAAGAGCCTATGATACTGTAGAAATATGAACTAAACATTATAAGTAAATAAATCAGAACATTAAGAACGCCCACACAAGCCCAGCAGGAGAAGCACATACATAGCCTAGATTCTATACTCTAGTGGCATGGGGCTTGCTCTGGCCTATTGATGTTGAGAAACATTTTGCCTCAGTAAAAGCTGCAGAATTTTCTCTGTCATTAAAGAAACCAGGACCTCACACTGGACTATGGAGTGAAATGAAAGAAGTCCAGGGAATGGCATCACTTCTAACTAATTTTTGTGGAGATATAAATAGAAGATTATTTATGTCTCCCTTTGGTTCTTGCCCTATGGAGACTGAAATAAGGTGAGTTGCTTTGATTAAAGCACACAGATGCAAATGATCAGAGAGCACATGACCACCATCCTGAAGATTTTCATTATCAGAGAGCAGATGCCATCGGGGCAAAGTGCTTGGCAGTGCTATTTTTGAACAAATCAATTCATTCTGATTTCCATCAAAACTTGCAAAATTAGGTATTCAAATGGAGATTGAGCCCCACTGACCTGCAGCATGTGTCCTTTAGAAAAGGATATTTGCGAGGCTTATTCAGAGATCTGATAAAGTGCAGATAAAATTTTTCATTTGATATTTACTGGCTCTGGTCAGTTCACAAATTCCCAATCGCAGATTTGCTAAAACTAAATGTTATGCCCTTTTCATCATGCATTAAAAAAATAACATGTATTCAGCACATAGATTATGTTATGCCAGCCAGGTCTCAGAAACTGTCACGAGAGCAGCCCCCCCGTTCGCCGAGGTTACGGGTGCTCTGCCGTGCTGGTCCCCGTGGCCTGTGCTGTGCCGGCTGGGGGAAGCAGTAAGTCACCCCGTGGCCTGGGGGCGGTGGGACCCCCAGCTCTGCGGTGATAGCTGCTTTGGGGCAGCGCAGTACTGCTCTGTCGTAGGTGCACAGGCTGATCATGCCCGGTCTCAGCCCACTCCTGGCTGAGTCGCTGCCTGTGCAGGCAGTATTTCTTGACTGCAGACTCTTACAGTGTTTTATCACCTGCAGAAATGGCACAGCAGCCTTAGAAAGGTCATAAGGAGCCCATGAGGTCCCCCTATTTTTCAGGCAGCCAGCCTTTCTGATGTTTCTTGTTTGGCTCTTTTGCAGTGCCCCAACAACGCAACCCAAATCCTTGGGAGTAGCAAGGGCTCCATCCTGAATCACCGTGCAAAGACTGGAGGAACATTTGTTGTGAAAACTGTGAGAAGAGCCTGCGTGTGCAGCCCTGTTACCAGCGTGGGAACTGGCCCCGGGCTTTCTGCTGCAGAGGACAGGGACTGGTCACATAGCCCGAAGCAGGTGTGTGCCTGTGAGCATCTGTGTCCACAGGCATCCCCGTAAGCGTGACTGGCCTTATTCTTCTGTGGGAAGTTATACAGTACACAGTATACAAGTATATAGCTTGATCCAGTACAGCGTGAACATAAAGGGCTGCTAAGCCAGCACTCTGCACTTTATCCTGCCA